AAGATACTCGTACAGCGTGTTTCGATGGATTGTCCGCCATCAGTCAGACACCATCTCCGTAAATCAGCAGGGTGCGCCGCGTGCAGTTGAGATTGGCATCTAGAGAAGAAACTTTTTACGTTCCCTCAGTACCATTTTCCATTTCGAAAGATATTAGAATCATTATTATAATATAATTTTCTGAATGAACTGTTTCATTGCAATTTTATGATTTTTCTAATTATAGAATTTTACCGCTTGGTGTTGGTATTGCAAACGTGCAGGGGATTTTAGAAAGCCGCTTTAAGCCGTACGTAGGGCCAAAAAGACGCGAACGAGTGTGAGCGAGGCGCCGCTACCACGGCGTCACCTACTTTCACGAGCAGCAGCGACGCGACAGGCGGACGGACGACGCACGCAAGGTCGCCGTGAGGCAAACCACTCGTCGACAGAATTTCTTCGAGGCGGCGACACACGCATACCAGTCCGGGAGCGGATCGCGGTCGCAATAAAAACTCTCGGATATATTTCACGCGTGTGCAACATTATCTCGACGCTCTCGGCTCCGATTACTTAACTTCATGGCTTAACTGTATACTAGCGGCGAAACAAGATCGAATTTATATTTCCCGGTAAGTTCGACGTGCGGCAAGGGCGGAACGATGCAGGGTGTGGTTCCGGTTAGCGCCACTCCGTTTACACATGGCATTTGCCAATCGAACCATGCTTGTAACTGAGTAGAGTCCCTTATTAAAGCATTTTCAGACTAAATTTTTAACAACCTAATGGCCTAGTGTTCAGACGACCAGACTTGTGGCTTTTATATCGCAGGTTTTGGGTGCTATTTATGAAAAGATAAAAAAAAAACGATTCGTTGGTCGTGTTTCTGACGATTAAAACTATAACCGAAAGAAATAATTAATATAGTGTGTTAGTGAATTCCTTTTTATTATGGATCGGCAGGGTAATGTTTAACCATCTGACTACACAAAACTACTTCATATATAGAAAAGGGTGACAAACGAACACACAGTTCGCATATGGGTTGGGTCATGCATCTTGTCATATATAATATCTTTGCCATATTCAGATGCACTAACAGGACAGAAAAGTCGACACTGTAATGACGTCCCACAGGATACAGCAAGCTCATTCTGCGTAGATCCGTCCAAAACTAATAATTGTAAAGATGAAGGTACACCGGGTTAACTTTGACATCAGGACGTCATACATCTTAGTACCCTCGTGACCATGGGCATCATCTTCCCGATAACAACTCAAAATAATAAAAAACTTCTTGCCAAGCGTGGCAACTATGGCAAAATCCCCTCTATGAGGTAATTTATACGTGGTAGAGCCATGATGCAGCTATATTAGTAGTATAGTTGTAGCACGAGTGGGTCGGCTCGACCGGGGAAGGACCACGCTCTCACAGATTACCAGCGTAAAATAGCAGCTTAACACTGCTGTGTTTCGTATGGTGAGTGTAGAGAACCGGAGACCCTTTTTACTGGTAAAGGGGCATTCCATCTTAGTACTCACGGATGACAACGCATTTGCATTTTATCCCAAACGAGGATAGATGTAGATGTCTATGAGCCACAGCAACCACTTACCATCAGGTGGACTGTGTGCTCGTTTATCATCCTATTCTATAAAAAAAAATATGTAGGCGACCTATGTTCAGCAGTGGACTTTTATAGGCTGTAATGGGTGGATGGATAATGGAAAATTAAACGCAATAACATTCTTATAAATAGTTTTTTCAATCAGTTCATCGGTTAAAGTACTGTGCATCTGACGCCAGTTCTGCTGAGCTCATCCTGTCTCACTCCCCACTCCAACCTATAATCGTTTGAGTATAAGCATATTACTTGATTGGTTGTAGTACTATAATCTTCTTAGGTTTCTCTCTGAAGCTTATCACATAATACGGTACGCGAAAACAGATCAACTACCTTCGACAAGTCCAATAATTAAAAATTAAGAATAACTCAAAAACTATCGGTCAGACCTTGATCAAATTGGGACCACATGTAAGCACCAGCTTTCAAAAAAAAAAGAATCATCGAAATCGGTTCACCCAGAAAAAAGTTATGAGGTTTTTGTTATGAGGGTATTGAGTACCGTCTCCTTTTTGAAGTAGGTAGAAAATACGCATATATAGACGTTTTTCTCATAACGCAGCTTCAGTGTAGAGCCCAGTTCTAATCCCAAACTGTGGATTATGCATATCCATATAAAATACTAATATTGATATTTTGATTGAAGTGAAGTAATCCTATGGCGAACTCAAAAGGTCGTAGGTTCGAATCCGCCATTCGACTATACTGTCGTGAGCGACAACATAACACAAGCATTTTAAGTTTTTAAGCTTACCAGGAGTGGTTCAAAGGAATAGCAGTAATGTTGATGGCATTGCGAGTATTGTTTTTTCTTAACATTTAAATATCGACAAAAGAACTGAGTCTTAAATAGATTTACCTGGAAATACTTATCTTGGATTATATGATCTCATTACCATAACGATAATTCGTATGCCACTGTACAAAGATTTATCTTAAGCTAATATTGAAAGAGAATCCGTAATATACCTTATGTTTGGCGAGATAATTTTAGATTTTACTTAAGTGCGAAAGTTTTTTTAGGGAAGACATAAATAATTTGTGATACTGATACTCTTTATGAATTTAGGTAAAAGTTAAAAAGTAAAGTTAAGGCCTATAAACGGCTTACAAGCCATGCAGAGCACAGGTCTCATTTTGAAAGGGTTATGAATAAATTTATTAACCGCGCTGCTCCGAAATTGCAAATCTCCCTCTCTTTTGAATGTAAATGTCAATTGATCTATTCTCTTATATTTACTTTTAATGCACAGCTTTAAATAACATCATTAAGTTACCATTAATTTATTTTATCGTTACGACATAAGAAAACAAACTCGATAAATAATACCTAAATTGTAAATTATGTCCACATAATAATTCCATATCGAATAATTCATAGATTACTGATTGCTCGCATATTAATTTGGACATACTAATGTTCTGATTTCCAGAATTAGATCATAATCACACAGCCCGCCATAATTCTACTACTGAACACAGACCTGAAAAGCATGGACGATTAAAATATAGCAAACAGTTTTGCCATGTAAATTTCGCTTCTCACTTGCCAGCAACAACAGTGCTCGACTGAAAATAGTTTACTTCCAGTTAGGAGAATCCGCTTTGATTGGCGATCGTAGTGGGGAGCAGATTCTCACACGTCAGACGTTTCCGATCAAGGGATAACTATTTGATTAGACACATTTTAAATTTAATTTATATTTGTATAGAGACACCTTAAAACTTGAATGGGATTTATGGTGATCTAATTTTTTAAACAAATTTCGCATTTGAAATTTACGCGCTTTTATTACGAGTGTCGTAAAATTTGTAACAGCTCCGACAAACACCACCATTAACAGGAATGACCGACGCCCGTTACGATGAGCTAGACGAAAATTAAAGATTTCATTGTGGCGTCAAACAATGAGCACTGTTGATTGCGTAGCGGGGCTTCTGGCGCGGCGGCTAATTGAATTAACAGCCAGAACACAACATGTCCATTAGGCGGTCTCCGCAAACACGAAGAAAGATGTTGACTGCAATTGAACCGGCTGTGTCTTACAATGTGGGAACAGAGCCGTATAACTGTCGAAAAATTTAATACTTAGAGTAGAATGTATATTATATTATAGGTTATACTGATTACTGCCACATAGAAACATGTTGTTTGCGTTCTTCTATATAATTTCGATTACTGCCACTACTTCAGAAATATCTGGAGCTATCAAACGCGTAAATATATGCGACGAGTGCACGTGCATACAGAAGCAATTAACTTAATTGAATCTTCCCGTGAACAAACGAGTCCTCCGCGATAAGACAGGGCTGCAGTGTTCATGACTTTCACGTCTAAACTCGAAAACCAACTAATTATTTTTCAGCAAAAAAGTTTTCTTTAGCAAATTTTCGAACAGATGGCATTCGTCATTTTTAAAGATACTACAACATATTCAGTACTATAAAACGATGAAAATATTATAAGAGATTCAAATATATCATTAGGAGTTTTTCCTGTCTCATGGAGGGACATACACAAATTAGACATGAACTATAATATAGCATCCAAAGCTGGAAAAATTGTGTCTTCATATTAAGAGTGAAAAGGTTTTTGCTAAGCTAATTCAGTGTGTTATATAACAAAGTGCGTTTTATCACCACTTACAGGACCTGACTAATGTTAGGTACTAATTCTGTGTTTTAAAAATATTATTAGGTCATACAAAAAATTATTCCTTGTGCAAAGAAACGTTTTATTCAATAAAATCATTCAAGGATATCAATGTCCAATTGACATTCTAATTCTCTTTGAAGTTCTAATTTATATAATAATAGGTCGGGGAAAAAGTTTCTTCGTATTTAGTTTGTATAAAATTGAAGAAAAATCTCTTTGGTTGTACTGTTTGTATCTGGTTGGTTTTAATATCAATACATCACATAGATATAGTATTCATTAGATTGGCAATGGCGTGATTAGGGTGAGACCAAAAACGAAATGTAGCCGTGTGAGTGAAATGTGCATGTGTGCGACAACAGTAGTGCTGCGCCATGTATCAACTTTAATTATCGATACAGAAAGCTGTGTCTGTGTCATAAAATGAATATTATGTTTGAGGGCATAAAAATAAAACTACAAACAAAAAGTTTGTGATTTTTATTTTCCACCAAAAATAACTAACTTATTGTAAAAATGTCGTAAGCTCTCCTTGGAGGTATTTTGCAATTTTGCTTCATACTTTAATCTGATAACCAAATAAGTTTCAATTATTGATTTAATAGTTAAGTGTTTATGGTTTGATAATGCTGGCGAATCGTACATATGTATGTCAAGTGTGTTAAAAAATGTTTGCAGGACACAAGGCATTCGTTTACTAATTTTTTAAATATATTTTCGTTTACAATTTTTCCTTTCACGTGTTTTCGGAAAACTCGTTCAGAAAAGACACCTATCTCATAAACGTCTTGAGAGGGATACACGAGGCCACCTACGTCTTTCATGTTTATTAGTGAACCTTCCTTAACTTCACCGTAAAGTACATTTACACAGGATTCGCATTTAATTTTATTTGCGATTTTTTTTACCACGTAACCACATATGTACTGAACAATGGACTTAACTACAGATTCCATGCCTTCAGGTATCCATGGCATAGATGATACGAAATCAGAATCTTCATTATCTATTTGGCCTGGGCCAATAGCCGCATCGTCGTTTGGCATCGTCATAGCACTAAGGCCAGTTGTAGTATTTATTATATCTATAGTACACGATTTTTGTATGTTGAGCATACTAATATTCTCCAAAGGCAAACAATTGGCTTTATCGCTGATTTGTACTTCCACGTGGCAGATTAATCGTTTGTATGCTGCTGTGAATTGTCTGGCTGTTGGATTGTTGTTAAATCCTCCTCTAGAACGTACTGCACTAAAAAAAAATTCTATATGATCTTGGGAGAGTTTATAGGTCGGAAGAAACTTTAATTTTCCTGACTCTATGAAATCGACATATAGCCACTTCAAAGCTATCGTATTCGCCAAAAAACCGATAAAACCAAGTTTTCTTCGACTCTCTATCAAAGCTTGGTTGTTGTATTTTAAATTTTTAATAAATTCACACACTTTGTCACATTCAGCTACAACATTTTCAACATTATTTGCATTTAAGGCCTTCTTAAATCCGTAGCTGAGTAAATTTCTGGAGTTGAAAATGTCAAATATGCTGTTTATTTGTTTTATAAAACCTGCTGTCGCTTGGCAATTTTCAAACATAGGTAATTTTAATACTTCTTTGCAAAACTCTAAGCTGGTTGCAACAGAATTACTCAACAGTTGCGCCGCTAATCGTACATTCATTTTGTGATTTACAAAATTGACATGTTTTTTAGTTACCTTATTTGCCAAATGCAAACCGGCATCATGTTGAAGCTGGCAGAGATTTTCAACAAATTCATATTTAATAATATCATTATGATGATAAAAATTTTTGTATTCTGCAAAAGTATTTCTTATCAACTTTAATAAATGACACGCATCTAATATTACGTAATATTTTTGCCCTCTATAGTAAAAGTATGGTCTAAATGGAGCGGTGCTCAAATTAGCTCCTAGTATTTGTGCCATATTTATATTAGATGCTATGCCATCAAAAGTAACAGAAGCAACTTTTACAAAATCTGACAGTGAAGCAATACACTGCTTTAGAAGTGTTGCTTTCTGTAAAGCAGTAAATCCTCTTCCAAAAAAATAAGCAATTGGAATTTTCCAAAAAGAATTAATTGCCACTGCCATTATTACTAATACCTCTTTAGCCTTGTCTACTTGATCTCCATGAATATCATTACCCACATCTACATAGCCATGATGATTACGACCGTCAAATTCAATGTGTTCACGGATAGACATTTCGTCGAACGTAAGGGCGATGACCAAATCTTTTTTTTCTTTACTTACAGCCTTTATGGTTTCTATGGCTTCCTTAGTGATACCTGGCTTACAACCTACATTTTGGTACCAGCCTCGTAGTGTTCGAGGATGTGGTAGGCACAGGTCAAATTTAGTTCTCATGTAATTGTAAGCCCGAGGACTATAAAAGTGTAAAGTTAGGGCAAATGTCTTTAGTTGTGTATCATACTCTTGTTTAATATTTTTATTTTGTTTTTTCTTAATCACTCTTTCGATGAGATGCTGCAACAAATCATTTGGACCAGATGCCATTACAGCACTAATGTTATTTTGAAGTGAGGGAAGCCTTTCTAAGTTTTTTATCACTTGAGACAACTTTCCCACTTTTTCATCAGCCCGTTTTTTTTGTGCTCTTACATTTTTCAGTTTTTTTTGTTTTATATCTAATCTTCTCCGAAGAATATCAATAGTCTTTTTCATTTTTATCTTTCTCGGGGAATTGTCTATAGCAGAAATGTTTGCAGTTGAACTACTGGGTACTGGTAATATATCTCTGTAGATATATGAGGATGCTTTGCGTATCGGTTTCAATACAACCTACAAACAAACAAATAAAATTAGTGCATACATTATGTACTTATCTATGATTAAAATTAATAAAATAAAGTACCATCCTTTTACCTATTTCTGTCGCTAAATAGCAGAGCTTATACTACCGCTAAACAGCAGTGCTTACACTGCTGCGTTTCGGCCTGTTGAGTATAGAGAGCCTGTATAATTTTCGGCTGTAAGACATTTTATCTTAGTCCTCAGGGGTAAAAACACATTTGCAGGTTTCTTTATTTGAAGATGACTGCAGGTGTCCATGTACTGCAGTAGCCGTTTACCATCAAGTGATACTGTAAGTTTCTTTATTACTTTCATTTTATAAAAAAATATACATAACGAGAATGACAACAACAAGTTGTACACATTTAAACATGCGCAAACGAAATTAAGATATGTACAGTAAAATATATAAGTAATTAAAAAACTACGCACGGGCATAAATAATGTAGGTATTGATCCAGAACGCAGCTTTACTCTTTGTGCACTTCTATGAGAAAAACATTTTTGTTCAAAGTGCTTGCTACATATAGTTGAATTTTTTTTGGGAACCCATCCTTCTCTATTTAACATTTTTAACCATTTTTGTTTAACCTCATTATTTTTTGGAAATCTGAAACAATATAAATCATCTCATTAAAGTATTACTATAATGTGTAAATATTTACTTTTACGAAAAACTAAAAATTAAAAAAAAATACGAAGTCACAAAAGGCTGTATCCAAGGATATGCCTTTGCCTGTTATAAACATATTATCGATAAGACGATATTGATAGTGTCAATCCCTACAAAAATTTGATCAGAAATAGCGGGAATTCACGTATTTGTTATTATTTTTAATATAGTTCTCACGCATTTAGATTATTATCGTAATAAAATGCGATATTTTTCTCTGTCCATTTGTGTATAAAACATTTGTTATAGTTGTGAAATAGTGAAGTTAGAGTGCTAAACATTTTAATTGTACTTACATGTGAAATGTATAATTTTGTGGATTTACTTTTCTGGATGAACTGCATTCAGGTACGGCACACGTCACCATACTTAATCACACCTTTTAAATACTTATAAATACTTTAAAATCAAAAATATCGCGAAAATAAGCGGGATTTGTTTTGTTCACCACTGACGTCCGGCTGATACAGGCTGATAGTGTGTACGTGTATGGTCTAGCCATTCTATCTCGTTCTAACGTAAGCATATGCTATGCCCTTTCTCTTTTACATTGCCAATCTTAGTATATACTAAATCTATGATACATCATATACGATATTAAAAAAAATAAAAATGAAAAGTAAAAACACTTTCCCGCCATTTTTCAATTGTTTTCTGTCCGCCAAAATTCCCTGTGGTTTCATCAACTCTGAGTAAAATTGTACACCATAAGTATTGTTTATTTGTAGTAAGTATTATTCATAATATCTATATTATCGTTTTGTTTTAAAGGTTTTGTATTGTGTTCTACATTTTTCAAAATTATAAGCTTATACTACGTTCATATTTAATAATAATATAAATCATATCCGATCATATCAAATAATAATATATGTAATTTCGTCACAATGAAGAACTAAGACCCAATAAATTGTCTCAGTTCCAATGACTTCTTTCCATCCAGTTCAGAAGTGTCGGTTTTTATTTCAAAACAACTTTATGCTTTTTAATAATTTTATTATTTGTAATATTATTCACTACTATCTAAGATCAGAAATTTGCAACTGCAACTTCCATCATCGATATATAATATGTTCTACGCACTAGATTTCGTATTCCGAACATTGACTATGTTCATCTGAACTGTACCTACTGCAATCCGTACACTAAACTAAATATTGCGTAAATTGAAGATTTGTGAATTCCATAAGATAGTTATTATTACATTTTATTTATAAATATGTTTGTTTAGATTAAAATAAGAGTATTTTATATTTAATTCGTATATATATATATATATATATATATATATATATATATATATATATATATATTTATATTAATATCTTATTTTATATTAAATAAATCTTCGCGCATACGCGACTCTACTATCTCTCGCGCACATGCGCGAAGACATAGAGTAGCGCACAATTTTAGTTTAGAATAGCTTCTCTAGTACGTAGTACATATAACTCAATGCCTTCCATATACATTATTATGTAGGTACATAATAGTTAAAAAACACAACATTATTCACCTTATATTACTGATAGCAACCTAAATGGCTTATGCGCAAATATAAAGCAGCTAATCATATCACAATTATGTGTATAAGTATTTTTCAATAATTTCCTTTTACTACAGCAAATTAATTTTGTTGCTAACATCTTTTGGTAATCTATATTATGCATCTGTCAGCCATAACTCTAATTGTATGTTTACTATAGTTATTTTACTATGTGAAGTTGTGAAGGTAATAATAACCTGGTAGGTATGAAACCCTGCATAAAATAACCGAACGAAATATTTTTTTAAGATTACCATTTTTACTATGTCCTTAACATATATCTTATATTTTAACTAGTCATAACCTTTAAATAAATTATAATAGTAAAATTGTTTACTATAATCATTTTGAAATTTCTTTTTAATTGTTCAATGTACAATTGTTTAAGTAGTGAATTTTGTAAGTTCTATATATTGCCAAATTATGTACCGCTTAAGCCATTCATGCATTTTGCACCTCATTATTATATTTAAAACCTAATGATGCTAAACACTGCTTTCTTTCTTGTAATTTAGGTTATACTAAGCTACATAATACAGCTCAGATGCATCAATGTGACTTTGTATAAATTTAATTCATTAATCATGGTATGGCTAGAATGTGCCTAGCAGTAGAAAATTGGTCCATAGGCTAATTTTTAATTTTAAATAGTTTTATTACATCAATCATAATAATTCGGTCTTTATTTTCTGTTATTGAGTTTTTTAGTTATATTTTGTTAATTTTTGTTAAAATTTACAATAAAATCATTAAAAAATTTACAGTGTTTTTATCATCATACATATTTACATCTGTTCTCTTTTTATTACTCTTTTAATAATTATTTATGAAAATTATTGTAATTCCATCTGATGGTGAGCAATATTATTTTTGTTTTGCAGATATGCCAAAATTGGCTTCATAAGCTGGAAGGATATAATTAAAATAATAGATTATATTCAAATCTTTCAGATTTTTCTAAACAGTTACATTAAAATGTATAATCTATTAGGACTATTAAACCTTAAAAGAGGTTACACCTCTTGATATTCAACATCAAGGTAAAACGGTTCTCATATCAAGTCTTTTCTTACTTTCATGTCATATTATCCATACATCCGTTGCAGCCTATAAAAGTCCACTGCGGAACATAGGGGGGAGGCCCCTTCCACACAGAAGGGGGATGTGATATTATCTAACTTTTTAAAAGTGTCTACCATAGAATAATGATAAGTCATCGCGCGCTTTGACTAGATACCGCACTCCCTGCAAGTAACAGCTCCGTGAGTGCGGCATCTTAATATTGTAGTGTGTATAAGAGAATTTGCATGATGCTAGTGTGCGTGAAAAATTGTATATGCCAGCAGCTTTACTATTACCCGATTAATGGGAAAATTTATTTTATGCTATGGCTTAGTAGTTAAGTTCATAGTTATGAATGTATTCCAGAAATACTTAAAAATGAATAGTTTATTAATAACGAATGTATCAATATATTTGTGTATATTATGTATAGGTTTTTCTTCTGAATAAATGACACGATAAGGCCCCCTTTTCATCAGTTTAATTTTTTTATTTACATGTCTAACTAATATTCACAAATTATTTAAAAAAAAAACTGTTATATATATGGTGTAATCAAAATAAGTCTTTCTATTCTACGCGTCAATATGAACAACTTTTACTATAGATTTAACTTCCTAATCGCAGGTCTTCCATACATTTTGAGCAAGTTTGTACGAAATTTTGTATGGACTTTGAGATATTTTTTATAGGATCAGGGTGACAAACGAGCACTCAGTC